AACATATAACTTCACTTTTACAATTCTATATTGAATGTAGGTCACTTGTAATGTAGGTAAGTCAGAAAAAAAAAAACAAATTAAATATTTTATAATTTTACTATATTTTTTCACTCTTAATGCATGAATTTTTCTTCACAAAAAAATTCACACCGAGGAGACAATATATGATTTCAGCTTTGCAGTCCACTTTCTACTAAACTTTACAAACAACACTGAATGTTACCTGGGTACAATAGACCATGGTATAGATTTTCACTACATTAAAACACTTTTGAAGTGATTTAAATCATTTTACTACTCGGAACCACTCACACTGCATAGCACAAGAACATTCTAAGTCAACATGTTACATAACAACTTTATATTCACATGATTTTAGATAATTCACAGTAAGATTGTTGAATGTGAACATTACATAAGAGCAAGGTTATAATTTAATTTACAGCATTTATGAAATAAAACTATTACAATGAAAAACAGGATGATTTAGACAGTAACTGCAAAATTATTAGGATCAAACTTGACCTCAAACAATGTACAACGGAGGTTATTACATAATTATCACTGACAGATTTTGTGTACACATAAAAAATAATTTAAACCTCATTTTACATTTAAATTAAGAATTTCGATTAAAACATTCTCAAAATGGCATTTGTATATTTAATAAATTCAAGCAATTATGAAACTAAATTTTATTAATAAAACAATACATATTGGAATCAGTGTATGACACTTATTTAACTAAAAATATGTTACTAATAGTCGTTTTTTGCTTTTAATAATACATGATTTCAAGGGAGTGGCTATTATAGTGACTTGGAATCACAATTGTAATAATGGTAACAATTCTTACATTATGTTTAGAGAAGCTTCTTGATTTCATCATATAAGACAAGCACGAAGGCACCACCAGTACCTCTGAGGACGTTTGAGAAGGCGCCTTTGAAGAAAGCAGATCCTCCTTCAGTCTTGAAGATGGTTGCCCAGCAGTGTACTGTGTTCTTGTACAGCATGTCGGTCTTGGCTCGGCCAGACTGCATCATCATGCGCCTACGGACAGTATCGAAGGGATACGAGATGATACCGGCGACGGTGGTGACGGTTTGAGCAATAGCCCAACTGATGACAATAGGCGTGTTCTTAGGATCAGGCAACATGCCGCGAGCAGTGTCGTAGAAACCGAAGTAGGCGGCACGGTATATAATGATACCTTGTACCGACACACCGAAACCCCTGTACAGACCGGTCAGCCCATCAGACTTGAAGATTTTGGTGATGCAGTTGCCAAGACCGCGGAATTCACGCTGTCCATTTCCTTTGCCGACATCTGCAGCGAGACGGGTACGAGCGAAGTCAAGAGGGTATACGAAGCACAGCGAGGTGGCACCGGCTGCACCACCCGACGCCAAGTTACCGGCAAAGTAACGCCAGAACTGTGTGTTCTTGTCTACACCACCGAGGAACACCTGCTTGTACTTGTCCTTGAAGGCGAAGTTGAGGGCTTGTGTGGGGAAGTACCTGATGACGTTGGCGAGGTTACCACGCCAAAATGAGAGCAAACCCTGCTCCTTGGGAATGCGGACGAAAGCGTCAACGATACCTTTGTAGCGCTGGTCTGCTGCGATTTGCTTGCTGACGTGCTGCACCTGCAGGAGCAGTTTTACACGCTCGATGGGTGCCACCGCGGTCTTGGAGACGGCGGCTGAAATACCACCGGCGAGGAAGTCCTTCGCGAACGCAACCGGATCGGCGAGATTCTTCGACATTTTGTTCAATTAGATGGGCTCTTCACACAGTAATTGCCTCGCGGGCGTCGAAGTGAAGGTTTTACGGTACACACACTTAATGGAAAAATCACGAAACACGAACTCCCGATTTATATAATCAGAAGATATACAGTAATTTCGTGATCTCGGGAGCACAGGGGTAGGTGTGTGACTTTTTTGAAATTCGATCGATCACGTTCTCTCGCTGTTCTGGCTGAAGTAGCGGCGCAAAAGAAGGAAGGAAGGGGTAGATGTTGCCAACGTAACGGCACAGTACCACGAGGCCGGGGTGGTAGCTTAACATCTTAATTTTACCCAAATTAAAATGAAATTTCCCTATATTTAAATTATTGAAATCACGGATAACAACCAAAACAATTATTGAAAATATTGAAATTATGCTAATAACATCACCAAATAATTCATTTGTAATAACATCCCTGCAAAAAAGGTTAATCCTGCTCCGAAACCCGTAATATAATAATAAAACATAAATAAGTAAAAGTTTGAGGAAACAATGTGCAAAATATAACTCCTAAGCAGGTAAATTCCTTAAAATTAAGTCTATTGCAATTGTTTATAATTTGTAATAATCCACATAAGACGGCGTTATTTATGAATATGGCAATAAGAGCTTCATGATAATTAAATGCGTTTTGTTTCTGCTTAACTTTTAGAAACGGTATTATATAAGATATTTTAATTTTTTGCTACGCTTCATTATAATTAATTACAATAATAAAAGAACTGTAATATATTGTTTCTTGCATAAAAAATAAATAAAGGACACATTAAGTCACGTATTAGTGAATTATTAACAATTTTAAAAGGCTGTTTAAGTAATGTCGCCAGCTTTGCAATGAATATCTCCAAAAAAGTGCTTAGTCATATGGAATTAATCTGTAATGTTGGTAAACTACTAGTAAGCCACACTTTTTTATCCATATTTTTGGCTTGGATGCTTGTGTTTCAAGCCATGTCTTCATTTCATTCGAAATCTTCGCTTTTATAGATTTTTTTCTTCACAATATTCTGATGCGTCACATTGCTAAGTTTTGGGATATTTTGACGAAAACTCAACCTGGCGGACAGTCGATGATGACAGTTATTCAAGTTCATAAGGCGCCTAAGCGATCAAAATAACTTGAGGTTTATATCAACATCGAAGCACTTGTTTCGTCGTTTCATCTAATAGATTAAATGCGCAGACAATTACTACACAAAACCACATCACTTTTACGTATCAAAATCCACTTGAAACCATTATTTAAGTTATAAAATATTTAGACCATTCAACCAATGGGTTAAAATGGTCTAAGATAAAACGGTTAAGGTTCAAGTTCTAGCCAAAACTCAAGCTTCAACACAATCGTACATAGACATAAACTATGTCAATTAATGTACACTATAGGGTTGTACCTTGACTCTGGCTGGTAGTTTTGAAGAAAAATATGAAGAAACAAATCTATTTCATTTGTTTCTAGGTAGATGTTAAGGCAATGATTTTCCTATTATTCACTAATTCTTCAGAACTATTTCTGGTGGTTTTTATTAATATTACTATTAGTTTCTATTTCGTTGGGGACCCGATTTGAAGGAACCTTATATCTCCATTATCATCATCGGCATTACAACCCTTCAAAAGTTCACTGCTGAACATAGGACTCCCCCAAAGAATGTCACAAAGAACGGTCCTGCACGTCTGAATTTCCTGCGTCCATCGACTTCCTGCATGTCCTACCAAGTCGTCAATCAATTTAGTGGAGGGCCACCCAACACTTCGCCTACCGGTATGAGATTGCCATTCGAGAACTTTGGTTCCCGGTCGGTTTTCGGTTTTTCGAGCTTTATGGCCAGCCCATTGCCACTTCAGCTTAATTATCCGTTGGGCTACCTATATCCTATATAAGAAACCTTATATAGTTCTATATTATTATCTCTTGCGCGTGATACTTTATAATTACTTTAATTAGTAAATAACAAATTAATCATAAAATACCTCTTCGAGGGATTTTGCCATAGTTGACACGCCTGTCGGGCGAGTAGTCAATCGTATTTTCATATTATTTTGAGTTGTTATCAAGAAGATGCTGCTGCCCATACCTGTTTCCATTTTTCACGTCGTCTTTCGACAGCCGCGGGACGATATGAGGTAGTGAGTATTCTTACACCACCACTACACGGCACGGAATGAATTAACATTAATTAAAAAAAAAAAAACTCCATGTAAAATTAACATAATAAAATGCATTCAATCTACAAATGGCTTGAATTTAATGATATTAAAAAGTCTCATATGAAATTTCTATTGGATAACAGTTTAACGGCCTTACATAAAAAAACTAATAATAAAAAAAAATTCAGTTACAGTTACTCACGAACGGTATAAATACTGTCATATACTTACTTGTGATCACGTCCAATTATGCTCTAAAAATATTTGTCGATTATTGTTTACATAGAAGTAAAGTAACAGTTACAGCCACAAACTAATAAGAAGTAATAGCGCAGTTACCCTATATACGTTGCAGTGCCGGACACTTTATTATATTATCGAATATCACGAGTCCTCGAAATATTTATATTCAGGTTGCCTCGATCCTGCCCGCTTGCTTATTCATTAAACTATTTTTTCGGATTCTGCTTTTAGGCTGTATAAATGTTACATTACTCCTGTTATGCAAATTAAAAACCATCGATGTCATACCATCGTCACACACAAACCGCCGTCAATAGTCATCTATCGATATTATCGATAATACTGACCACTTTGTCTGCATTACTGATTCCATATATACAAAAGTACACTGATTACTGACGTCTGATATTCCTCTTTTGGAGTTTTGGCGGGAACTTGAACGGCGGCGGTTTGCTGCTCCTGTATTATTGTTTAAATAATAGTTTGAAGTGGATTTTGATATGTAAAAGTGGTGCAATTTTGTGTATTAATTGTCTGCGCATGTGAAATATTAGTCGAAACGGTGAAACAAGTGCACTGATGGTGATGTGATTCTCAAGATAAGGTGTCTGTCTGCTTAGGCGCCTTGAGAAACCATCGCCAACTGTCAGCTGTCTGCTGGCTCAAGTTTCCGTCAAAATATCCCAAGGGCTGCAGAATGTGACGCATCCACATATTGTGAAGCAGTGTACTATGAAGGATAATTATTAATTATACATTGTAACTTCAGGCTTAGAAGGGCTAGAAGCCAGAGCTGTAAAGCCAGTTATAAAAAAATTACTGATCTGACGTTTGTATTTGATTTGATTTTTATTGTAATTGACGCAAAGAGGAAAAATTTTTGGCTTTTGATCGTTTGGAAGCGTGTATCTAAAGCTACTGTTTGACTTTGCTTTGAGGTTAAGTGAAAGATACAAGTGTCGTAATTTTTTTCGCTTAAATTTATTGTTACATTAAGTGCTGTTGAGTCACTATAGTAAATTTTTTTGTCTTGGTGGTGGTTTTAACATCTGTAGATTAGTAAGTGTTTTTAATTGTGCCGTTTTTATGTAAATTTTAGTTATAGAAATATTATGGAGGACGAACCTCACAGGACAGGACAGGACAGGAGGTTCACAATGACTCCTTTACTTTACCCGTTGATTATGTAGAATCTATTAATCGTAAACGCGCCCAAATAAGCAATGAGTCTGCCCATCCACAAAAAATAGTTATTACTGATCCAAACCAACAGTTTCCTTCAATACAATCCTCATATACCCATCCTGATTTTATTAATAAGAAAGTAAAGTACTCTCAAGATGATACCGCTCCTTTTCTAGTTCACGTAAGTAAAACGTCAAATGATCAAGTGTCCGGAGTAACTCTCAAACCAATTAAATTTGGTCACTTTCTGTATCATAATAACATTAAAAATATAGTCTGTGACGGCGTCAAAAAAGTTGGACGAAACAGGATATCAGTTGAGTTTAAAACAGCAGTGGATGCAAACACTTTTATTGATCAGCCAGCTCTTCAGACTTCTAAATATGAAACAATTATCCCTTCATATAATATCACTCGTATGGGGCTAGTCAGACAAGTTCCTATAGAGTGGACATTACAAGAATTAATAGCAGCTATAGAAATTCCCTCTGGATATGGTACTATAATTAAAGCTCACCGACTCAATAGACGATCAGTGAGTGACAGCAATAACGTTTCATGGATTCCAACTCAAACAGTAGTTCTAACTTTTTTTGGACAAAAACTTCCACCACATATTTACTGTTTTTACACCTCTATGCCAGTAGAAAAATATGTTCTGCCACTCATTCAGTGTCATAAATGTTGCAGATTTGGCCATGTTACTTCTCAGTGCCGATCATCCCCTTGCTGCTTTATATGTGCACAGAATCATGAAGGTTTATCATGTACTAAGCAAACTCCTACTTGTCTATTCTGCTCAGGACCCCACACAGCAAAAGACCCTACCTGCCCTGAACATCTAAGGCAACAATCTATTAAACTAGTTATGTCACAAGAAAATTTATCATATTTAGAAGCTTCAACTAGATTCCCTCTGGTACGAAGATCCTTTGCTGACGCAACAAGAAGTCCACCTCATAATTCTTCTCATCAGACCCCTTATCCCATAAATGACAGTATTTCAGCTCCTTTGGCTCAGCCTTCACAATGTACATCATATAAAAAAACAGTCTTTATTCCTCAACATACTTACAGACAATCATCAAATTCTGGATATGATAAGCCAGCCCATCAGGCAATTGTTGAGAACCCTCCTTCTTCCCTTCCAAATGGGTGTGCTTTACTGGGGAATGACAACATCTCTAATAATGATAACTTCTGCGAACTTATGGTATCAATGTTAATTAACATGATTTCCCGTTTCAGTGACGCAGAACTTCCCCTCAGTTTACGTCATAAACTTACTCAGCTTACTTCAATAACTAACAACATTCACAATTCTACAATGGAGCATCAAACATAAAAAGAATGAACTTATCTTTCTTATAAACAAATTTAGACCATCTGTTCTTGCCATTCAGGAGATGTGGCTTAGACCTGACTCCCAATTTAGGATCTCAGGTTATTCATGTCTTTGGGATGATAGGAGCGATGGACATGCTGGTTCCTCTATTCTGATCTCAAAAAATATTATATATTCTTCTATACCTCTTCCTACCCACAGCTCCTCGATTAATGCTGTTGCAGTCAAGGCTCTCAACATATCTTTTCTGTCTGTATACATCCCTGATCCTAATGTTACCATCTTAAATGAACTTTTTAATCTTATTTCTTGTCTAACTCCCCCTGTTGTTATCATGGGAGATTTTAATATTCACCATACTTCATGGGGCTCACATCACTGTGATTCTCTATCATCTACGTTTCTAGATATGATAGACGACTTAAATCTTTGCATCCTTAATGATGGTTCTCCTACCCACCGTGTTTCACCTTCTCAGAATGTAAGAAGTGTAGTGGACTTGACTCTTTGTTCTCCTGGCTTAGTTTCCCTTCTATCATGGAAAACATTACCAAATTCACATGGTAGTGATCACTATCCAATTTTTATCACATCTGCTGACTCTACAAGAGCAAATTCTGAATTCAACCCGAGGTTAAAATATAATTTATCAAAGGCAGACTGGCATTATTATTCTTCTGTTTTAGATCAAGCAACATCAACAATTCCTTCTTTGCATCATGAAAATGTACATTCAGTCTATATGGAATTCAAAAATACATTATTATCTTCTGCCAATAAGACTATTCCTTTAAAACAACCCTACAGAAGCAATTTGGTTTCACCTCCTTGGTGGGACCAGGATTGCACATCTGCTTGCAAAAAAAGGAAAGAGGCTGAACAAAAATACTCTTTATCAATGACCATGGAAAACTACATTTCCTATAAACAAATAGCAGCTGAAACAGTGAAATTGCTATCTCAGAAGAAAAAAAACGGCTGGCATAGGTTTTGTTCTACTTTATCTCCTTCCACACCTCCTTCTCTAGTCTGGAAAAACATTAAAAGATATCGCTGTTCTAATACAGTTGAACAGAATGTGTCTTCTAATGACCCTTCAATTTGGCTTGAAGAATTTGCACTTAATCTTGCTCCTCCTTCAGTGCCCACACATGCTGAATGTTTAGTTTTTAATTCTCCTTCTACACAATCTCTAGATGAATTTGATGCCCCCTTTTCTTACGAGGAATTATTTACAGTCCTTCAGGGTCTTAAGGACTCCTCTCCAGGAGTAGATGGGATTCCTTACTCATTCATTATTAAAAGCAGTAAAAAAACTAAAACTGTATTTTTTGACATTCTGAACCACATTTTTGACTCTGGAATTCCTCCCAAAGAATGGAAGACCCAAATAATACTTCCTATTCTCAAACCGGGTAAAGCCAGTGAAGACTTTTCAAGTTACAGACCCATTGCACTGTCGTGTACAATGGCAAAGATACTAGAACATTTGATAAAAAATCGGTTAGAATGGTTCTTAGAGAGTAAGGATGTTTTACCGAAGAACCAATTTGGCTTTCGAAAAAGCTTAAGCACTATGGATAGCCTCAGTACACTAGTAACTGACATCCGTATTGCTTTTTCTAAAAATGAATACCTTGTTGGAGTCTTTCTCGATATTTCATCTGCATACGACAATGTACTTCTTCCTGTACTCAGGCAAAAAATGCTGAAGCTGAGTATACCAGTGAAGATAGTAAATTATATATCAAACTTTTTCTCTTCTCGGTCTATTTTAATAAACTTTCAAAACTCACTACTCCTTCCCCGACATATTTGGAAAGGTCTTCCACAAGGCTCAGTCCTCAGTCCTATTCTCTATACTATCTACACTTTCGATTTAGATCTTGCAGTCAATTCATTTTGTAATGTCCTACAGTATGCAGATGATTTAGCCCTATACATTTCTACAGACAACCTGACTACAGCTAATTCCCGGTTAAATTCTACTATGGAATATTTACAATGCTGGTTAACTGATCATGGTCTATCCCTGTCTGTTTCCAAAAGCAGTATAGTGATTTTTACTCGCCATAAGAATGTCCCTAATATTCCAGTTTTATATAATGGCTTACCTATTCCTATTCGGGACAAGGTAAAATTTTTAGGTATGGTACTAGATAATAAATTATCCTTTACTCAACACATTGAATACATTTCTAAAAAGTGTGAGAAGAATATAAATATTCTTCGTTCCCTTTCAGGAGTGTGGTGGGGATCTCATCCTTTTTCACAAAAGCTACTATATAATGCTATAATTCGTAGTCATTTAGATTATGGATGCTTTCTTTTAGAGCCTTGCAATAAATCGTCACTTAAAACTTTAGACAAAATACAGTACAAATGTCTCCGCATTATAATTGGTGCAATGAAATCTTCCCCAATTAATGCCCTTCAGGTAGAGTGCGTAGATCCTCCTCTCAACATAAGAAGACAATATCTTTCAGACAGATTCTTCTTTAAGATCAGTCAACTCTCTTCTCATCCCCTAATTCCCAGGTTACACCTCCTCTCAGAATTCTTATCTTCAAGTAGGTACTGGCTCCATAAAGATTGTCCACATTTATTTAATAGCTTAGTCTCATTTCTCCAAATTCCTGGGCCCATTTTCTCATGCAATACAAGTCCACTCTTTAATACTCCTTTCAAAGCTATTATATATCAACCTAACATTCACCTTGACCTAGATATTAGAAAAGGTTCCCCTGAAGCAGATTTAAAATTAAAAGAAGCCATAGGGAAAAATTGGAAAGATTGGATGACCATGTATACAAATGCATCCAAAAATACTGATGATGGCTGCACTGGTGCAGCTGTCTGGATCCCCAGGTTTAAAATAATCCTTAGCTTTAAGTGCCCTTCATTATGTTCCATTTTTACTGCTGAGACAATTGCAATCCATGAAGCTCTGCTATATATTGAATCACATAGCCTAGACAAGACAGTGATCTTTAGCGATTCTAAGAGTTGTTTATCTGCTATTTTGGCTAACCAATTTCAAAGTAAATATAAATTTCCCCTAATTCTTGATATAAAAAGCATTCTGTATAGGTGTCATCTTAAAGGGATTTCTGTCTGTTTAGCCTGGATACCTAGTCATAGTGGTATTTGTGAAAATGATAAAGCAGATTTGTGTGCCAAAGAGGCTACTAGAAATGGCACCCCACTAAATGTTACTTATTCCCATGACTTGCTGTCACTTACTAGGAAAAAGCTTGTTAATACGTGGAATGAGATATGGAAAGCATCACAAATACTAAAAGGCAAGCACTATGCTGCTATACAAGATAATATTCCATCAAGACCTTGGTTTTTCATATTTAATAAAGCAAACAAACGTGCCACATCTATTGTCTGCCGGTTGAGAATTGGACATGCCTGTACCTATGTTCACCTAGCTAAACTCAGGATTAGGGATAGTTCTCTGTGCGAATGTGGTTTAGATGAGGGAAACACTAATCATATTTTTTTTAACTGCACCAAATTGTCATCATCTCTTTACGATTATCTGCCCCCTGACATCCCTCGTCCCATAGACTTTAACTCCCTTCTAATCTTCACAAATACCTCTTTTGTATATATTTTATGTGATTTTATTAACTCTAACAACATTAAACTATAATTTGTTTGTCATATAATAACACATTTGTATTGTTCTAACAACATTGTCTGTCTTTTGTTTCAGGTGATTCAGCAGTTAAGTTGACCAAAATCATTCACATAATATTCATTTGTTACCATTTCTTGTATTATCAATTTCCTTTTTTAAGCAGAGTTTGTGTCCCAATTAAACCTTCTCACATGTAACATGTCATTGGCGAATTCATCGTAACCGCCATAAAGGAAGAAGAAGAAGACGCAAAGAGTATAATAAGTATATACAGGAAGATTGACGTCACAGAGTACATTATATATAGGGAAATTGACGTTCTGAACCTTCTAAACTTTTATAAATACAAAGGAGTGTGTTGGAGTTGGTAAGATTTGTTTACGACATTTAATTTAATTTTGTTCATCTATAAGCGTTTGATTTCAATTTGACATGTAGATGAACAGAATGGGGTCGCCGTCGGTTGGAATGGAGGAGGATAACTGCGCCGGTCACGCATTGAGCGACTTTCTTTTGCAGTTGGAAAACTACAATCCCTCCATACCAGACTCTGTTGTTGCATATTACCTGAATGCTTCTGGCTTTGAGTCTCAGGATCCCAGGTGAGCGTCAATTTAATATATTATATTATCGTATGTTTATACATTTTCATTCTGCACTTGCATTTAAGTGCTAACGACTATATTCTGGATATATTGTTATTTTTGTATATTTTTATTTATTATCTGTATTCATTCTATAAAGTGTGCATCATTATGAATGTACAACAAATTGTGTATATAGGACTCATAGAACTTTGTGTTTGCAACGGGCATACACGAAGAGTTTACTTTTTGTGGTAGAGCCATGCTGCAGCTATATTTGTAGTATAGTTGTAGCATGAATGGGTCGGCTCGACCGGGGAAGGACCACCCTCTCACAGAATACCAGCGTAAAATAGCAGCTTGACGCTGCTGTGTTTCGTATGGTGAGTGTAGAGAACCGGAGACCCAATTTACTTGAAAAGAGGCATTCTATCTTAGTCCTTATGGGTGACGATGCATCTGCATTTCGATTCTTTGTTGAGGATAAATGTAGATGTCTATGGGCCGCAGCTACCACTTACCATCAGGTGGACAGTGTGCTCTTTTGTCACCCTATCCTATAAAAAAAAAGAAGTTGTGGGAGTTCTACGTCATTAGGATGTATTGTTATTAGTTGGGTACGACTTTCCATTGACGTCCGTCGAGTTGGGGTTGATATTTTTTTTACAGAAAAGTTACATTATTGTAAGCACATGAAAAGTTTCAACATGTGGAAATGCATACTTTTTGAGAAAAAAATTATTGAAAATCAATTATTTATCCAATATTTATGCCAATCCCCATTGACATCCGTCGAGTTGGAGGTTGATTTTTTTTTACAGAAATGTTACATTATTATAAGCACACACGCAAAGTTTCAACATTCATAGACATACTTTTTGAGAGAAAAAAATATTGAAAATCAACTATTTTTGCAATATTTGTCAATTGCTACCTTAAAACTGACGCCATTTTGTATTGTCGTTGTCAGTAGGGATGTTGATTCTTTCCGAAAAAGTTTGATTTTTTTAAATCGAGTCTAATTGTAAGCTGATGTATCGATTCACAAAAAATCGAATTCTAAATATCTATATTTTTTTATGTTTGCATTTATAATGTAAATATAAATCCATTTTATGAGAAAAAAATCCCCTTCATCATAAAAAAATAGGGGGACTGATTCAGAAGGATTTCTGTATCTATTTTGAGACTGCTACGTCTCCGGCGCTGCGGGAAGAGCAGCCTCTACGCCTTTGCGTAACAAATCGCAGGCATCATTCGACTACGATTTGTTACAACAGGCAGAGGCTGCTCCCCCTATGCGTCTCCGTCTCTATAAAACCACTCTAGGGGTAGGACAGACTTGTACCAGGTGGAGTCGGGGTCAATCAATTCGGTTCTTTGACATAAGTTGAACCTAACCTATTTTATTTGTTATCTACCCTAATAGGTACTGTTAAAATAAAACAAATTTCAATAAGAGATCATTTATTATGGTATCTTTCTTGTTTTTCATAAAATGGATTTATATTTACATTATAAATGCAAACATGAAAAAATATAGATATTTTAGAACTTGATTTTTTGTGAATCGAAAGCTTACGATTCGAGTCGATTTAAAAATCGATCTTTTTCTGAAAGAATCGACATCCCTAGTGACGATGAGAATGACAATACAAAATAGCGTCAGTTTTACGGTAGGAAATAGGAATTGACATAAATATTGTAAAAATAATTGATTTGCAATAATTTTTTTCTCAAAAAGTTTCCCCATTATGAAACTTTGCCTGTGTGCTTATAATAATGTATCCTTGAAATAATTGTTAATTGTTATTACTATTGAGCTGATTGTAACTTTAATCTTTATCAATTAGAGTCCACGGATTTAGTACAATTTTTCTGTTTATTATATTAGGGAGGATTTGCCACCCTTGGCGTTTATTGAACTATTTACAAAAATGAACTTAAGAATTTTCTTGAATAGTTTCTAGTAATTTGTTTGTTTTTGAAAAAAGCAAAGAACATCCATTCTATTTTACTTTTAGATTTTAAATATATATATTATAAATTGTCGTCATATATATATATATATATATATATATATATATTTATTTTTATTTCAAATTTGTATTATTCACTTTTTGATTGTGTAGCTGATCTTCGAAAAATGGTCACCAATTTATATCCAATCTTGAATGTAAACTGAAGTTATTTTTTTACCATTTATTGTTTTATTATAGGCAATCTACTTAATAATGTTAATGCTTATGAATTATAAGTTATGTGTCCTATAAACTCGTAAAATAAATAGTTTATTCAGTAAATGCTTGTTTGTTTGATGTGAATTTGCTAGATCCTTAATAATTGTTAATTACTCTCAATCATAACTAAGTGATTGCAATAATTTCTATACATTCGATACATCAATTGTAATATTTGGTTATGAGAATCACATTTAAGCTTTCTTTGCATGTTCTTTCTATTTCTTATATACACCTTATTATACCATCCATGTTTCGATTATAATTTTTTACTCAGGATAAAAGTAATTTTAGTGTTACCTATTAGAAGTTCAGTTATATTGTTGGGGTCATCATATGATAAGAGATCAAAAATATTATTATTTTCTGCCGACTTCCAAAAAGGAGACGGTACTCAATTTGACTGTATGTTTTTTTTTTATATGTGTGTTACCTCATAACTTTGTACTGGGCGAACCGATTTCGATGATTCTTTTTTTATGTGAAAGCTGATAGTTATCGTGTGGTCCCATATGAATTTGATCAAGGTCAGACCAATGGTTATTGAGTTATTCTTAAATAACCTATATTGAAGTCGCTTATATTGAAGTTGGCTGTACAAAATTTTTAATTTTAAATTATTAAACATTTTAGAGCATTTCAAAATTTATTAATATTTTGGTTTTAAAGCCTTTGCTCATATCACTTACATTGGATAACTTCAGAAAGATTTTTTTTTTATAGAATAAGAGTGACAAACGAGCACACAGTCCACCTGATGGTAAGTGGTTGCTGCGGCCCATAGACATCTATCCTCGTTTGCGAATCAAAAAGCAGATGCGTTTTCACCCGTGAGGACTAAGATGAAATGCCTCATTTCCAGTAAAAAGGGCCTCCGGCCACCTGCACTCACCAAGCGAAACGCAGAGGTAAACCTCTACTTCACGCTGGTATTCTGTGAGGTCGTGGTACCACCCCGGTTCGAGCCGGCCCATCCATGCGACAGCAAAAGATGCCGCGTGGCTCTACCACTGTTGAATAATTATATGATAATTTAGTGATCAATAATGTAGTACTTAGTTTAACAATCAATATAGATTTTTTTATTAAAATGATCTAAACAAATGTTGCCCCTTGTAAAGTCATGTGTCCCAGAAGTAACCCTTGCATTGCAAGCTTATTTAAGCAACTAATGCCCGAATACTGAAACTCAACTTAACCGATTCGTTGAGGCACCAATTTTCGACAACTTTTAGCTGTGGCGGCGATCAAATATTTCATGTCGTATATTCACACGCCGGGCATGTCAATCGCCACAGACAACAATGACACGCCTATTGTGCCATCCGCCATGTGTAAAAGTAATGTTCTTTTTTATGCTTTTTTTACTTGTTTAGACCTAATTAAGTTTATTTGACATCAAACATAAGTTACAAATGGAAGGATACTTGTTTTTAGTGGGTAACTACGTGTTTTTTTACGCGTTTTCTTTGAAATTGAGAGAAAGTTACTTTTTTTATGAAGAGATTACAAACATTTTGTACTATTTTTTGTTGTTATAAAAAGTAATTTATATAAGTAGGTATAGCTAAATCACCCTGGAACCCTTGGTTTTTATTAAATTAAATTTTCACCTAATAATAACATTTGTAAATATCAAACAATGAAGAACCTAGTTATGCAACCACAAGACCATAGGGTTGTTAGGGTTTGTAGGTACCTCTAGGTAGAGGGGGCTGCATAAACATTAGGCAGTATCCAGTAACTGTAGAGTCAGCGCTTTTGGTTGCATGAGATATCAGGCAGAGCTTATGGGAGCGGCCACTTCGTTTTGACATCGACTTCTGTCAAGACGTATTAATTAAGTAATTAGAATTATAATTATTGTAATTAGAAATAAATAGATTTTAAATAGTTTTTAAAAAATCATTTTACGTTCCCGTAAACTTGACTGGCGCAGCCGGTAGGATCGTCATACTTCGGTAGTGTTGCGTCCTTCGCGAATTCGATATAAAACTCTGTCGGAATCGGAGGTCCGCGGCGCGAAGAAAAAAACCGAGACGATCCTCGAACCAAATCAAATTCGTCAAGGAAGCGGAGCTGATCTTGGACCATGAGAGCAGTTGGTGGCTGGTGAGTAGAACTTTTCACCATCCTTTCCACTACCTCGGCGTTCTGTTATCTTGAGATCGAACTTCTCTCATTTTAACGTATTCTGGTTAAATAGTTTAAAAAAAAATTGTTATATAATTTAAGTTTTACCTATTTTAATAAGTACCATATACAAGAAATCATAATTTTACAAAGAAGTATTTTTATTAATCATTTACATTTTATTCCTTAATATTTTCTGTGACATTTAGTTAGATTTATTTCATATTCTTTTTATATTGTTTGTGTGTAAAAAAAAAACATAATTATGGAGAGTATTACACTTATTCCTGGTGAAATGATTAAAATCATTCCTTTGTTTGATGGTGACAAACGCCACTTAAATCTATTTTTAAGAAAGTGTGAATATGTTATACTTAACTAAATTTAACGGCTCAACGGAACAGAATTTGTACGTGATGAATACAATAACAAGCCGCCTTATCGGTAATGCAGCTGTATTAATAGGTGAGCGCGATGATATTACAACGTGGGATGAGTTTAAGCAGTTATTAATTCAGCATTTTGGAGATTCACGAAGTGAAGAGTGTTTAAATATTGAACTTGAGACCTTAAGAATTAAACCCGGAGAAAGTTATTTAGATTTTTGTTGTCGAATTCAATCTATGAGATCAATTTTAATGGGTA